TGAGAATGCAAAATGAAGGAAACAACACATCTCTGCTCCCTAAGGGCAGTCCTGCACTGACTGCTGGGCAGGGTGAGGGGTCTGGGATAGCCTGCCAGCCTGCTGCAGAGAAAGGGCTCAGGGCTGAGGGGCCACACACACCAAGGCCCTCACTCTCACTGCTCTCGCTGCCGACACAGCAGGAAGCCTGTGCAGGGCCAGTGGCCCATAGTCAACACCCACCAGACAGTGCAGCCAGCCCTTGAGGGACACGCAGGCAACTCACTGCCCTTGCCTGCAAGGCCATAGCCCTGTACATGGTGTTCCGTGGATGTTTACAGTGACCCAAGCCATGGTACTGCCCTAGGAAATCCCAGCAGACTGGGGTGGATAACTGTGGACCCTGTTCCCTAAGGGGGCAATGGCCCCCTCTGCCCCAGCACCCTTGGATTCTGGAAGCAGCAACCCAGCAGATGAACCAACACAGCCCGCCCTCCCTGGATGGAGACCAGGAAGGCCCAGGCAGAGGTGGGGCAAGGCCCAACTGCTGGTCCCACAGGATGCCAGGCCCCAGGCCCACCCCCCCACTGGGCACTCACAGCCAGGCCAGCTCTACCTGCAGCCGTGGACCCATGTCCTCCACAGGCAGCTGTCCTAGGCAACAGTCACCTGCTGTATGCCTCCAGCTTCAGCTGATAGATGCCCATGACCGCCATAATAATGGACATTAGCCACACCCATGCTTGGCACTTTCTTAGCCAACAAAGTATAGCCCCTTTGTTCTCAAACCCCATACCACAACCCACACAGGCCCCTATTCTGGTGGCTCAGAATCTCAGCCAGAGAGGAGCCCCAGGGCAGTCTTCCCCAGCCATAAGCACTGGGAGTCTCAAGAGCCCTTTCCTGACTGGGAGCAGGGGCCTCATCCACCCCTCTGACTCCCAGCAGGCTGAACAATAGAGAGTGGCTGGCTCACTCTGCGCTTACCTGCCTGCACAGGTGCAGGTCCCCCGATCTGCTGACACTACACTGAGGTCCCAGCCCACTGGCCAGGGCAGAAGGCTGTGGGCAGCAGAGCCTTGGACACAGCAGCCAGGCCGCTGGGGCTGCAGATGCATCCCGACCCCTGGAGCTCAGTGAGGCGCTGGGTCACTGGTCTCATTCAACGCCTAGGGTGGGTCTCCTGGCATGTGCAACCAAGTCCTGTTGGATCCAGGTTCCTGCCTGCCCGCCAGCCCCACTACAGATGGGCACCTCTAGTCCTGCTCCCAGGTCTGACCCCAGCCCTGTGGCTGCCTCAGCCGTGGCAGAGTGACTCCACCTGGGGCCCCGGTGAATGTAATAAGACTAAATGTAACTGCCCATGACCAATGGCCACAGAGGATGGGCACAGCTGGAAAGACAGTCACTTCCGTCCGTCACATGCTACTTGAGGCCAAACCAGGAAGGCTCAGTACCACTGTGCCCAGAGTAGCAGCCAGGCTCCCACCTGCCCCCACACCTTGCTCGGGACACGTTACTTTTTCAGCAAAATGATCAAAACACAAATCACCAGGAGGGTAAAACCCAGTTTGATATACAGTGTTTGGGGGAAATCAAGGAAGAACTCTTAAAAAGGGAGTCATATCTAAAAACCACTGTCTGCCACATTACTAGCCCTGGCAATGAGACTGACTGGTCGTGGGCATGATGAAGCATTTGACAGCAAATAAACACATGGATAGTTACTTCCTGCTGAAGGAAAACAAGTTTTTCCAAAGCAAAGAGCACGTGCTCTAGGATAAGCCCTGTCTGTGAGGTAATGGCACGCACGAAGCTGCGTGCTCGCCCCTCCTGGGTTGGCCACAGGTACACTGGCGGGGGTTGGCTCACCTCGGCACTGAGTGGACTCTCCTCCATCTTCCCAACGTCCGCATCCGGCAGCGGGTTTTTCAAGGTCTGTAGAAACAGGGCCGCCTTCCTTTTGCGCTCTGCTTGGAGCTGCTTCTCTTTGGACTCCTTGGATGCCTGGGCCAGCTTTTCCCGGGCAGCAGCTGCAAGCCGATCCTCCAGCTTTTGCTTTGCTTCAGGAATAAGCATAGACAAGCATGAGTTCAAAGCAAGCAGCACTTTTCCTTGTCATGTGTTCCAGGATAGGTAAGCAGAGGCAGCTCAGGTGAGAGAGCGCTTGTTACAGCATCTGTGTCTGTTTCACTTTCTGAACTGGTCAGGTCACAGGGGAACAAAGAGCCTCTCACAAGCAGGCCCACATGTCAGATCACACAGGGAAAACACTAGGGAAAGGGTCTTGTCCCACATGGCCGCAGGCCACCACCTTGGCTTCAGCTGCGCCCGCCAACTTGTTCAGGGACCAGGGGTCACCAGGTGCCTCCCTGCTGGGGTGGACAGGTGCGGAGCTGCCTTCCTCAGCATGCTCAGCCTGGGGTGGGCGTGTGGGCAGGATGAGCGGGTGGGTGGGAGCTAGCTCGTGGAGTGACCACCAGGGCAGGGCGTGCTGGCGCAGCAGAGTGCACGTGGTATCCCAGGTGGAGCCTGCAGTGGTCCCACCAGGACCTAGTAGCAACGCAGCCCAAGCTCTTCATGGTGGGTGGCTCTACTGGCAGTGCCTCAGAAAGGCCTTTCTTGGGGTGCCTGACCCCAGCCAGGAGCGGGATTATGCACCTGCCCAGGCTGTTCTCACAGTGCCCTGCTCCCCAGAGCACATGCCCCCATGGGCAGAGTTTAGGCCAGTGGACCTCTCCAGAGCACCCGCTGGCAGGGCCTGCGCATGTGGCTTGGTGGTAACCTTCTAGTGGCTGCAGGGCACACACAGACCTTGCTTGGCCTCCAGCTCCTCCTGGGTGAGCTGGGGCCTCTTCTCCTCAGTGGCAGTGCAGGGTGGGGCGGCGGGGCTGGGGTTGGCGGCACTGCTGACTCCCTCATGCCCATCCTTGCTTTCCTCGTCCTCGTCGCTGTCGTCATCCAACCTCACACGGTTCTTCTCGAGGGGAAGCAGGTCGTTCTCTTTGGCCTTGATTGCAAAGCTGATTGGGGCAAACGAGGCTGTTGAGAGGTGAGAAAAGCGACACGATTCAGGTCTGTAGTCAATAGCAGCCTGCTCCACCCCTGTCCCATATGGCACAGGGGCCCAGACCTGGGGGTTATCTTGGCTGCCTGGGGCCACCCCAGGACTCCACAGCCCCTCTCAGCTGTGATGAACACCTCCTGAATGATGCCATCACACCGAGTTTTTAAAACACCAATTATTTTCTTTTTTTCCGGGCTTAACAAGTAATTCAAGTATGTGCACGGTGTGTGTTGTGACAGTGTCTCCCTCTACTGGGACTACCAGCCCTCAACTAGCCACTGAAACACAGACTCTGCTACAGAGACAGGGAATCCTTAAAGGGTTGAACTCTTCACCTAAACAGTAGCCGCCACCATCATCCAAGTGAACCTGGGGAACAACAGCCTAGCACAAACCCCCTCCACTTCCATATCAAAGACCAGTGACTTTTAAGATAACAACTTTTATTATTATATATGTTTAACTTCAAAAGCAAAATACATTCTCTATAGGCAATTCTGAGATGGTGACTGCCACTCATACGGGACCCCAGTGCTGTCCCTGCAAGTGTGACAGCTCGACCACACACAACAGAAGCCCCCTCCTGGCATCCAGACCTGCTGTGCTCCCTTAAGCAGCAACATCTTTCACTGCAAGATGGGCATCCCTATCAGAAACAAGCTTTGACAGGAGTGGCCACAGCAGCCCTCAGTGTGGACATGCTGAACCCCGTCTCCCACCTCTGCTTCAAACCTCCTGTTTTTATGAGGTTTATTTATTTAAGATTTATTTTTTTTAATGCATATAAGAACTGGGGTACAGACCAGAGACACGTGGTAGGGCGGGTGACAGGATTCATTAGAGACAAGAGTGAGGAGCAGAACAGGCAGATCCACTGAAATAATACTGCTGAGGGGAGCAGTGGGCGAGACAGGAGAGGTCTGCTGCCCCATGTGGGTTACCTCCCTGGCCAAGAATCAAACTAGCACTGAAGTGTCTGCAGCTAGTTTCCTGGTGCTGCGCTTTAACCTGCTGAGCCACCAGGGAGGCCCCAACCTACTATTATTAAAGACTAGCAGGTCACAGTGCAGACCACCGGTGCTGTTGCTGACAAGGCTGTGAGCAGGTGTGGGAGGGTATCACGTGGGACTAGGCCGTGCACTGGGCTGCCTGCTCCCAGGGGACACCCCGCTCACTTCCAAAGGTCCCCAGGCCCCATGGCCACACAGCCCCAGCCTGACACTTAGCCTCCTGAACCTGAAATATGCTACTGATGAGGACATACTTTGAAGATCCACCACTGACACCTGTTTTCTTTCTAAGCTCTTTTCACGTTGTGTTTTTTAGCTGTAGTGGCTTTCAGGCTCCCTCAAAGGCCCTCTTTTCAGGAAGGATAAATAGCAGCTCTGGCTTCAATTAGGTCAACAGTTGCCTCCACATTGACACTGGTCTTTTAACTCATTTAGGGCCTGCTGAGGCCTACTAAACTTCCTTCTAACTGCAACACTATATAAACATCATCTCTTCTTCCTTCTACTTTTATGCTTTATTTTCTTAGACAGACCAAATGCTTAGTCTATCTGGAATTATCATCAGAGTGATGTAGAATTCACCTTTTCTAACAGAGAGCTTCTTTTCCAGACTCAATTAGTACATGCTAACATTTATCATAAAATCCTTGGGCAACAGTGCTGCTGCTCCAACATCTGCTGATAGAGCACAGTCTCTCCTCGCTCCCATATCGCTGCTGCCTGGTCCCAGTCAGAGGTGTAGGATGCACTGCCCTGGGCCTAGTCTCAGGGCTGCGGGCTGCAGGGGCCATCCCAGCAAGGCGGATGCCCTCCTCTACTAGGGGCCCCTGGCCTCTGAGTCTCACAGGCTTACCCAACGCCCCTGAATTCCTTTAGGCCCAGACACAATGTTTTAGCACCTCTTCTGGAAACATTTTGGCAATTTATAATTTCTAGTTTATTTAAAAAAAATATTTATTTATACATGCAAAAACTGGGGTACCAGGTCAGAGGTGTGGGGAGATTCACCAGAGATGAGAGGATTCACCAGAGACAGAGTGGGGAGCAGAACTGGCAGATGTACTGAAGCAGTGTGGGTCAGGAGAGGTCTGCCACACCATGTAGATCCCCTCCTTGGCTGGGGATCAAACTCTTGTTGCAGTGGCTTCAGAAAGCTTCATAGTGCTGTGCTTCAACCTGCTGCACACTAGGGAAGGCCCAATTTATATTTTTTAAGTAATTTATTGGGTCCTCCCTGGTGGCACAACGGGTTAAAGGGCACTATGAAGCTCTGCGCAGCCACTGTAGCACGAGTTCCATCCGCAGTGAGGGAACTGACCCACATGGCGTGGCAGGCCTCTCCTGTCTCTCCTGCTGCTCCCCTCAGCAGTGTTATTTTAGTGGATCTGCCTGTTCTGCTCCCCACTGTGTCTCGGATGAATCCTCTCACTCCCCACACCTCTGGTCTGTATCCCAATTCTTGTATACATAAATAAATACATCTTTAAAAACTAATTTTTTATTATTCTTCGATTCATTCAAAAGCAGAGTCACACATGTATCCTGTGCTCTAAAGAACACTGGCGCTGCCTCACGCTAAGCTGCCTTCCTGAGCTGTGGCTCCCACTGGCTCTCACGATGGCTCTGACTTTCACAGACCCCTCCCGTCTTCCTTAGACATAGATTACATTTTTCTCTCAGGCCCTCCAGTGGGACATTTTTCATTCTTTCTCTACAGATGTGAACACACAGGCTGTCAGCGTTTGTCTGAGTGGTGGTCTCATCCAGAGTTGAGAGCTGCACTCCGTGCCCCCATCACTGGGGGAAGGGTGCCCATAGCTCCCCTGGCTGTGTTCTCATCCTTCTCTAGCCTCCCTCCGGCCCCCCCGGAGGGGGGGCTGAAAGAAATTCTGGATCTGTGGTCTCCTGCAGACTGATCTTCTGGGTCTTTGTTACATCTCAAAGCCCACTGTTTCAGAGGTATCCTGAACTCCAAAGCTACAGGGGGTAGCCCTCTGGTCCCGTGAACCTATGGGGACATCTGTTCCTCATCCTGACAAGTGCAGCCCATATGGCCCAGACAAGAGGGCACAGAAAGGGGGACACTGGGCAATCCATCCACTATCTTAGCACTCCAAGGTACCTTCTGGAACAAAGGAGCACCCCTGTCCTGGAGCAACACTGTTCTATTCAGTAACTCGGTGACATCAGTGAGAGGTAGAAGGCAGCGAGGAAGAAGAGATCTAGGCGATCTGGGTGAATTTCTCAAAGATTCCTTTACCTGCCCAGACACTCATCCAGGCCCGGATCCCCTGATTACCTGCTAGCAACAAGGAATCTAGTGCTGAGAAGCAGCATCTTCACCATTCCAAACACCCACTGTAGTCTGCTCCATCCTTCCTGGGGCTCACTGGCCCCACACCTGCCCTGTCCAGCCCCCTTCCACCTTGAGTACAGTGTTGCCAAAATGCTGGGTCTCTACATGGTGACCCAACTGGCTTGGGCAAGGTGAGGCCTGTGCCAGGGGGTCGCACCCCCTCGACACACACTGCCTCCACCGCCCTGCAGTGGTGCAGAGCCCCTGGGAGCGACCCAGTGCTGGGCTGCCCCTGCCCTGGCCCAACCACGGTGGCATCCCCTTGTTCTGCTCACTGCCGCTGCTCCTCGCGGGTGAGTAAGAGACGATGAAGTGGAGGAGCCAGGATAGCCACCGGGGCGCAGGGAAAACAGGGAAAGCTGCCTCCGGGAGGACAGTGGTTGGTGTAGAAATAGTTTTACAAGCCCAAGGAAGTCTGAAACATTGAGAGTATTCTAAAAGTTGCCATGAGGTTGTTAGGACAGACTGTTAAGGAAACAGACCTAAGAGCAGGTTGCAGACTCCGTGCTGGCAGGGCATGGAGGAACAAAAGTCCTCTTACACCTTGGGGAAGAGGCAGGGCTGGCCCCTGAACAGGACAGCAGCTCCTCCAAATACTAAGAACACTCCGCAGCATTCAGCAATCCCGCTGCTGCATCTACCAAGTGACACAGATGCACTCGCCCCAGGGCTGCTGCGTGGTTCACACCAGCTCTAGTCACAGCAGCCAAGTGCCCCAGGGGCATGGGTTAGGGACCAGCTGCTCACACAGGAACACACCTCAGCTATTAAAGGAGGCAAAACGATGCTATCTGTTAGAACAAGGCTGGAACTGGAGTGGAGAATGCCCAGCAAGGGAGATCAGGAGAACCAGCAGGGCCATCAGGGGACTATAGAGAAACATAACTTGGGGTCAGTGAGGATTGGCCCAACCCGAGGCCTGTCTAGAGAACTGAGGCCACTGGAGGGGGGGTGGGCAAAGCCTGGAGGAGCCCAGATGACTGCAGGGCTGCTGTGGGTACCCTTAGTTGCTGGTGAGGCAGCGTGTCTGAGCAGGCATGACACCAGATCTCTAAGCTGCACTGGTGCTACACACCAAGAGGCAGACATGGCAAAGAAAAATAAATATAGAATTTATATTTAGGCCCTTCCTAGTGGTGTAACAGGTTAGGACGCAGGCACTGCAAGCTAGCTGCAGCCACTTCAGTGCAAGTTCAATCCCCAGCCTCGAAGGTGATCCACATGGTGCAGCAGATCTTCTCTAACCCCACCCCACTGCTCCCCTCAGCAGTGTACTTCGTCGTCTGCCTGTTCTGCTCCCCACTCTGTCTCTGGTGAATCATCTCACTACCCTGCACCTCTGGCCTATACCCTCGTTCTGTATGCATGAATAAACAAATCATTTTAAAAAAATTGTATTCAAGAAACAACTGGAAATTGAAAAACCTGAGTACCTGATTCCAAGTATTTCTAGATATGAAAATTAAGTGATTATGTCAAAACCAAACCTCTCCTTAGCAGCCAAAGGCACCCATGAAGTCAGGATGTGGTTCTGGCCCTCCCTGGTGTGAAGCCCCAAGGGAACACCTGGGCAAAGCTGGCAGACACTGAGGACTGCCACTGAGGACACAAAGTGGCAGACAGATCATTCTATTGATTTGGCACATGTTTGAAAATTTCTGCAATAAAAACTTAAAAGTGAAAGAAACCCAAAGGGCAGGTGCTAGCCAGATGACTTGGGCACCCCAGACAAAGGCACCCAGACGCCAGGCACGCAGCCCCTACCTTTCACCAGCTTTCCATCTGCAAGGCTTTTAGTAGAAGATGCCTCCTTCTTCCCGCCAGTGCCGCCTCTCCCGCTCCCGTCGGCTTGGTCCTCGGGGGCACCTTCCTCCCCAATCTCGCCCAGTTGCTCTGGGGTGGCCTCTGTGGGGGTCTCCTCCGCGGCTGGTGCAGTCTACAGAGGGCAAGCGAGACTGTGAGTACCCAGGAGCAATCCTGGTGCCTGCGTGGCCCAAAGGGAGACATGAAGCCAGGCCAGGATCCCAGGCCTGTGGCTCCTGCACCCAAACACAGACTCTCCCTCCTCATGGCAGAAGGGCAGTAGGTGGTTCATGCCCTCTCCTGGAGACCAAGGCTGGAAGCTCAGAGAACCACTTACTCCTGTCACCTGCAGAGGAGCTGGTTTCCTTCAGGCTGAGCCACCAGAGATGGAGGTCTGAACACCCCACCTGGTGCAGAGAGCACCCGCAAACTCTGGTCATGTCCGCCCCTCACAGAGGTGAGTACTTTTGGGTCTCAGACAGTCCTGCTTCAATTCCTGCCCCCAACTCTACAGCTGAGTGTGGGTCCAATCTATCCCTGCAGTGTCTATTTCCAGAGATTCTTCCCCAGTGCTTGAGATGGAGGGATCTGAAGTAGGGGGCACATCTTGGCAAAAGCTCCTGCTGAGAAGCCCTCATGAGCCAGGGCTCCAGGGACCCTTCCCCAGTCCCGAGAGCTCTCTGCTTCTGGGGACAACAATGCTGGGAAAGTGTGGGACGAGGCGCCTGGGACAGAATGGTGGCATATACCTTTGAGCCCACTGGGAGACTTCAGGACTGAGGTGACTCAGCCCATGCAGATCAAAACCTTTCCACATGGGGAACCCGTCACAAGAGGTTGAGAGTGACATGTGACAGGTGGTCAAAGAACAGCTAACGTGTGACTCTGCTGCTGCCTGACAGAACACAGGTCTCTTCTTCTGGGGCCTGGAAATGGAGCACCTAGACCTAGGATAAGGTGACATGGCTTCCCTAGACAGTCATACTAGCATGCTCGAGCTAGGCAGACTGGACACAGCCTCACAGCTTTGGACAGGACACCTGCAGCCCTATTAAGCACCAACCAAGTTCCCATCAGGGAGCTGGAGGCTATGCAGGAACTCCCAGAACAGCATAGCAGTTGCCGAGTATCTCAGTTCCCAGTGGGTCACGGCTCTACCCTATGGCTCCAGGAATGCACAGCCACAGGGAACCAGAGGCCATTCACTCCCCCAGGGCTGTGCTCCTCTTGGGTTTTCAGTGGCCTGCTGTGCCAATCCTGGGGTGACTGGGGGCTACAGCACTGGTAGGCTCGCCTGCACTAGACAACACAGTGAAGGTCCCCCTCTAAAGTGCTAATCCCATGCTGGCCTGGATCTCTGGAGTTGAGATGCTAAGCACAGGGATGGTCACTCTGTGTGACGCGGGGTCCATCCCACTCTGGGTGGGGGGTTAAAACCTCGAAGGTCAAGGTGAAGGACATGCTCCGGGTGCTCCTTGGCAGCCTTCGCCCCATGTGCTGTTGTACCATGGCCCCAAGCTGGTTCATGGATTTTTTTGGGAATTATCTTTTATTTATGCTGCATCACAATGACAGTACCAGTTAGTTTAGTTTGTAAATATAGGCTAATTTTGTCTTTAAAAAATTGATTGGGGTCCTCCCTGGAGGCACAGCGGGTTGGAGCACTGCACTGAAAAGCTAAACCAAGCTGTGACTGCTTTAGTACTAGTTCGATCCCAGCCCTGGAGCTGACCGATATGGTACAGCAGACCTTTCCTGTCTCACCTGCTGCTCCCCTCTGCAGAGTACTTTGTCGATCTGCCTGTTCTGTTTCCCACTTTGTTTCTGCTGAATCCTCTTGCTGCCCCTACACCTCTGGCCTGTATGCCATTTCTATATGCATAAATAAAATCTTAAAAAAGTTGATTAGCCTCTCTTGTGGTGCAAGGATTAAGTTTCAGCACTATGAAAGTATCATCAGCCACCACAGCACTGATTTCAATCCCTGGCCAGGGAGCTGACCCCCATGGCACAGCAGACCTCTCCTGTCTCCCTGCTGCTCCCTTCAGCAGTATATTTCAATTGATCTGCCTGTGAGGATTCTGGTGAATCCTCTTACCCTCCGCACCTCTGGCCCACACCCAACTCTTGTGTACATAAGTAAACAAATATTTAAAAGATGTAAAAATCTGATAGTCAAAACATCAAGTATATGAAGAAATGGCATTTTTTTTTTTAAGAACATGGTGCCCCGAAAGGGCAGATAGTCACTTCTCACAAATACCAGTGGCGGTCACTAGTGATCTAGAACATGGGAGGGAATTTTGCACAGATCTGAACAAGCCTCAACTTTGAGGGAGGGAACAAAGTGGAGCCCAGACACACCCCCACACCAGACCTAGTGTAAGGCCACAGCCCCACAGGTCAGGAGCTAACAGGCAGCCAGCCCAGCCTCCCAGGTGTGTACCTGTGCACTTTCGCTCCCTTCTTTCTGGAGGAAGAACTGCTTCTTGAACTCATAGTAGGCATTGTATTGGTGCCATGGTTGCAGGAACTCAAACCTGCAACGGGAAAGCAGAAGCCATGAAGCCTGCCCTTGCCACCCTCAAGACCTGCTGCCATGAGGCCCATCTCACAGGTGGAGACCTAGGCAGACCGTGCCATGGTGTAATCATTGCCCAAGCAGCGGACACTCGACTAGAAACTCCTCTCAGGGTCTCAGTGACCAGCTCCATGACAGGTTCTGCCAACCCTGAACTCCAGCTCACGACAGAGAGCCCTGGCATTCCTCCTTAAAAACTAAACACAAAACCCAGATGAGAATAAAATACCCCCATAGCCCTAAGTAACCTAACAGGATAATTATAATTAAACTGAAGATAATTAAACTGAGAAAAGGAATAAAAACACAAGACTAAAGAACTAGGTGCTGGGCCTAAGAACTGAGCCAGCCACCCGACAACCCCACTCACCTCTGGTCATTCTTGGCGCGGACACTGGCCTCAAATTTAAGGCCATTGCGAGCCACATACTCGGCCAGCTTGTCAATGACGGGCTGGATGTCAGGCGGCGGGGGGATGATGGCTGCCACAGGAGCAAGGGCACTGTAGGGAGAAGGGCAGCTCGGGTCTATCTCAGCCCAGCAAAAGTGCCGCATACACAGGCGATTCACCACACAAGTAAACAGCAGCAACCACTAAGACAGGGCCCATTCATACCAAGGGTAAGATGGGGTGTCATTATGACAGGTTTGCTTTTATCTTCTGAAGTTTCCCCTTCAACCACAAGCTCTTAGAGGCAACAGTAAGTGCTGACTTGTTATGTTTAGAGTATGAAAAGTCGCCTGACGAGAGTAACCATCAGTCAACTTCTCGCCTGTCTTCTTGGGATCACAGTGTGGCTCAGGTCTGCAGAATGCTGAATGCTCCTCCACATTTCCCCAGAGCTTCTCTGTAGCACTCCAGGCCAGTCAAGGGTGGGGTGTGGGGTCCCTGTTCTTCCCACAAATACCAGTGGCAGGCTGGCTGGGGGTAAGGGCTGGAGCCCCCTTCTGGCAATCTCAGACCTGGACTCACAGGCTGGACGTGGGCACCCCATTTATGGAGAGCCTGCAGGTTCCACGGCTGGGCCCTGGACACCTCAAAATGCCTCATAGCTCCTCTGCCACCAGCCTTGCTGACTGAGACAGCTTGGGGTTGATGGGGCTCTGTAAGCACTCAGGATGGGCTCTGCTCATAGGGCCTCTCTCTGACCACTTCTGCAGCCTCCCAGCTGGGACAGTAGAGACCCTCTGATGGCCCAGACAGCACCTACCTTGTGGTGATTGTGGTGGGGGTCCCTGTGCCACTGCCGCTGCTGTTGCTGGTCTCCGTGGTGGTGGGGGGTGGTGGTGGTGTGGTCCCGGGAGGGGGTGGGGCAGCGGCTGTCACCCCAGCCGAGCCAGACACGGCCACTCCAGTAGGCAGGGCACTGTAGTAGGTGGTGACATCGGCTCCAGGTGGGGGGGGTGCCAGGCAGCAGGTGCCATCCGGCAGCATGTAATAGCTGTAGTACATGGCAGCCACTGTTGCTGTGGAGAAAGGGGGTTGGAACAGCGAGGCCGGGCATTGTCTCAACTGCAGTGTGTCAGTGCGGAGGCGGCTCAAAGGCCTTGTGGCCTCCATGCTTTCCTGGTACGAGCTATAGACCAAGTAACACATCTGGAAAGAACCAGGTGTATTGGGAAGAACCAGGGATACATTGGGGTCACGAGCTGGAAGTGCCAAGGCCGTAAGACGACATACTGCCAGTCCCCTGAAGAGCAGCAGCCCTGCCAGTCCTACTCGGCACCTGAAGTCTGTGACAGCACCTGGGAATAAAGCGCCTCTGCCCTCTTCCTGTGGGATCCCGGGCTTCTCCCTGGGCCATTCAACTGGACAAGCCCCCTCTGCTGACCTTGTACTATCCCTAGGAACCCAGGGATGCACGTGGCTGCTAGCACGTCCTGGCCACCTATGCCAAACCTGCAGCCTGCTGTTTCCACAGCTACGAACCCTTAAGTTTATTCATCTTTTCTGAGAGAAATTTTTAAATGCAGCAAAGTCACAGAAAATTCAGTGCTCCAGTTGAGACCTTTTTCTTTCGAACCCTGTTCCTGTAAGCTGGATCTGACTATAGATGTTTATTTTCTTTTTCAGTAGTGGAAGGGAAATGATTTTCTGATTGATGAACTTTACTCTGGTTTTCAATTAATTCACTTAAAACAAACATTTACAAACAGCAGAGGCTCGCCACGATGCAGTGGCAGG